AGATCCAGATCTTGTCACGGTTCCGCATAGCGTGTATGCCTAAGCATCTCCTGCTCGGCCTGATCTCTGCATACGGTCGAAGCTTGAGCAAAGCAGGTGTCTTCAGGGAGGACGGGTGTAATATCGAGCTCGGGACAGAGTACAGCACCGCGTGGCCATCACAGAACAACACGCATAGGATACCTAGTCACTTCTCTGCGAACGGAGCAACTCAAAATCTTCGTACCAATCCTCGACGAAGTAGCACTGAACTCCACCCAGTGGAAGTCTGCGACATCGCCACCTACGATCAGCCGCCTGACCTTCTGCACCTTATCCTTCTCCAAGGGCCACAACTGAGCGTGAGGACCTCAAAAGCACGGCAACACTGTATTGGTTTTACTTCTATAATGGATTCCGTTCGAGACGCCAGAGCCGCGACCATCGGCCTGCTCTTGTAGGATGGAGACAACGACATCAATTCTTGCGACCGGCCTAATGAGCCCATCAAAAACCATATTATCAACGCTGTTTCTTGTCTACCTGCATTTATGATCCATCCCTGACCACTAACCCACATCGCCTCCCCTGGACGAACCTCCGCCGTGTCGGGGGCGGAGGGATCAGGCACGTGCTCGAATACAATCTCGAGAGGTTCGCTACTGTCAATCGCCTTGGTGGCGGCATTCGCGATATCCTCTGTAGTGATATCCTAGAAACATTGAAAAACTCCACGTTGTAAGTGAACTAATCCTAAAATTCAGAGTATTTTTGCTCGCAAAATTAGCACTAATTCGAGAATCACTTCGCTGAGCAATCACATTTGTCTCTACAGGGGAAGCCACGAACACTCCGCTCACCTCAAAGGCACCGCTGCCAGAGTTCCATGAAGGGAAAATGTCCGGAGGGTGAGGGAATGGCTCCGGCTGAGACAACAGAATAGTCTCTCCCAAGTACGTCCAGCTGTGAATGCTCACAAGCTTGGGGCGCGCGCTCCTGAGGGCCGTCCAATACCGGGAAGTCATGGACTTGGGTATGATGGGAGCTCCGCAATTAGCGCAGATCTTCCGAGCTGATGGTTGAAGGCCGCCGCATGCATCGCAGGCCTGAGCATATTGAGTAAGCAAAACCCACCAAGTTTCGACGAACCCTGTAGCCAGGTGGAGGCGCCTCCTTCCCTCTCACTGCTAGCGTAGTAACCGAATCCCCGAGTGGAGGCACAACTGCCAGAGGGCTTACTGATAGATCGCCTATGACAGATGCCTGAATTGGGGATAATATCGGACAGCGATGTTGTGGACCAAACTTACCACGGACACTTTACGCCTTCTTTTCGTAGTTCCCTTAGGAGTCATTTCATGGCCACATTCAGTACACTGCATTTGACGACATGGATTGATGGTGCCGCATTCGGAACAGGCCTGCGTCAGGCACTGAGCATTTGCAGAGGGAGGCTTCGACTACCTTTTTGCCAGCCCCCACACCCTTGCTTTCGCGCCCCCTGCCGGTCCCTTTTTTGGCACCCTTCGGCCTTCCGCGCTTCTTCGAAAGTGAACCCTGCAGGGACTCATCCAGCATTTCAGGAGGGAGGGGCGATGAGCCTTGGGCTGGATTGTTCAGTTGAGCGAAAGCAGCGAGAGCGGCTGCCTGATAAAAAAAGAGGATCCGTTAAAATACCCTCGCCAAGAATTGAACACGGATCATCCGGATAAAACCCCTACTACCTACCACTAGACTAAAAACCCTACACATGAATACTACAAAGGATAGTCCATGAGCACAGAAGTGGTCCAAAAACACTGCCTGCAATATAGACCCACAAACGTGAGTCGGTCAAATGCTCACGAAGCTACTCAGTCCGTGTGGCATCGTTCATCGACCCCTCCCGCAGCCCAGCACTACCTCGAAGCCTGGGTGGGCCGCCACTCCCTCCAGGCCTCCGAGCCCTTCCACTGACGAGCCCATTAGTCCTCCCATCTGCTCAGGGCTAAAGGCTACAGTGGACTCCCCTTGCTGACCATCCATACCCGGGATGCTGGCCTGGGCACCTCCAAGGTGTGGAGGAGATGACATTGCAATGAATACCCTGCTGCCCCCAACCATATACTCTCAATAGCACTAATCCACAACACAAAGTCAAACCTAGGAGATCCTGAACCCTCCACTCAGTTGAGAACTTAGTAAGTTCAACTTACATACATTGCAACCAAAGAAAGTTCGCTCCGCCCTAGCCCGATTCATAGTTTCTACCGGGAGTGATTTACCCTGACCGACCTCCCTGTATGCCTTTGGACTAACGATATACGCTATATTCTGCTATCGATATATTCCACATATCAAACAGATGTTCAAACCGTTGATGGTTTCTCAAGGATCTCCTCATCAGCAGTCCGCGCACCATGACCCCTTTATTGCTTATACTGCCCTCTCATATTTCCTCAGCCGCTCCCCATACTTGTGCTAGGGACCTCGGCCTATTAGTTAGAACCCACATATTCGTCTCCGGTCCCACAACCTTCCAGCGCTGAACGATAAGCACCGTTCTGTGTGAATTTGTATCCAAGGATTCCAGATTTTTGAGTACGATAGGTGAGTTCTTCGGCGTGTAGCGCTACCCCATGATTTTGATGGTTTCGTTCGGCAGCTAGATGTTCGAAAGGTCGAGAAGCCCTACAGTCTATGAGACTCTCCCCAGCGGAAAATGAGGGTACCCGACAGACTCCTGCACATCGCACACATGAATATTGGGAAACCACAAACCACAGTACGGCAGAGGTGTTCAAACCTCTGCATGGTGATAGTAGGGAGCACGATACGCTTGTTCCCAGAGAAACCAGGGCGCGAAGTATGACACCTACAGTGTGAAACGAACGGCCATGCAGAGTAATGTTTGGGGCTGTGTTTCTTATAATCTAGAATCACAACTATATACTACGAATGTCTTCTTAAATGTTGAGAATCTATTGAGAAGCAATTCGGGATGTTCTCATGTTAATCTTTGAACAAATCTACACACGTATGCTCATAAGTGGAGAACAATTCCAATTCAAAACCAAAACAGTTCTATTCGAGCTAACCACAGCCGTTAGTTTCCATATGGATTCACATTGTACACATTAGATCAATACCCTCAACCACGATCATTCAAGTTGAATCTCCCGTACAGTGAAGGACTGTGGAGGCTCGGGATGCGGGAGCGATCATGAACATAATTCATCAAAAAAAGTCTTCTCAGAATGACGCGCAGAACCACCGTCACGCGCCACGAAATTCGATGACCGTTTTCGTATATTTCATTACAACACTGGTAACTGTGCTGTCAACAGAGGCGTACAATCTCTGTTTGCAAGACCCCCGAGCTCTCTTAATAGTCCAGAGGCTGGTCTCGCAAGAATCAGAGCTCCTCCATGTCTCAGAGACATTGTCTCTAGCATGGAGCTGGCGGTCGACGACAGGTTCATTGAATCGAGAGGCCAAATGTTCGTGTAGCGGAATGATAGGTTACCCTAAGACCCTAAGGAGGTTCGACTCCGACAATCGGGGTATAATTATACAAATTATGGTAAGGTGATCACCATGTGAATCTCAAGACATGCTCAGGTCATCACTTACGAACTATGAGATAGCTTTCTTCGATGCAACTTTGTATCTAACCATGCAACTCTACTATCAAGGAAGTTGATCGTCAGTTTCATAGCGTCACTATCGCTACCGTAGTTTAAGGTGAGTGCCAGTCTTGTTGATTCTTGACACCGTGATTGAAACCACCTGGTCCTTCCGCTGGCATAAACTCGATCGTCTACGCCGTAGATAAGCCAATTCTGAACTGTGGGAACTGCGTCTAGCCAATTGCTCATGCCGTCGGCATGAGCAATTGTTCAGCATATCTTCGGTACTCAACTATCGGTCGCATGCATTCGAGCCATGGCTTTCCTTCAATACTGCCTTTCTGTAGTGTCTGTCACATCTGCATCTGAAGTGTAACTATCCTATGTGAGCTGTTTTATTTTGTATTAGGCCATAGCTGTCGCATTCGCAGATGAGTATGGGGGTTCACTTGCCGATACCCAATATGAATTGATGGTAAAACTACAGGGTTGCCAAAAATGTATTGGACATGGCCAACCGTATACCAAATTATGCTCGATCATCTCGAAAGAGATGATATATAATCAGAGTCAAAGCATAATATTCAAGATAGAGACGCGGCTCCACCGGTGGTGACTTGACGTAGTAGCAATCGTCAGAATCATTGGCTATGAACACAACACAGAATATGATCATCCCAAGTGTCTGAAGCCTATAACAACGCATTACTGTCCTTAGACATCCCAAACCACAGGAGACATGCGAAGAAGTATAGAGATACCGCCCCAGACAGCGAAAGTCTCGAAAGTGTTTGTCGATCGATGACGCAATGAACAGATTAGGGCTCGAACTGAGACCAACAGGAGAAGATGGAAACATTTGCTACACAATGTGATAAAACAGGGCAGTAGTCCGGAAGCAGGAGCACTGTGAAGACACGAGGCTTAGCCTTTAACAGAACTCGACGCAGGTCGGAAAAAGGAAAGAATGATGGATGACTGTAGCAAAGACTAGCTGTTGATATTCTTTAGGTGTCGCGATGAAGACAATGATGATGACGATGAATAAGGCCTTCAACGCTGCCAACACCACGAGCAGATTGTTAACTCACACATTCACGCTATTACGATAGGCAATGATATAGATGATAGTAGGAGAAACACCATAAAGGGAAAACGCAAGTGCCCAGGGAGTTGTAGGAGCAGCAGAAAACGATTCTTTCAATACGGGTTCTAGTACTACGAAGAGGCGATAAAACGAGGCAGAACGAGAAATACACACGAAACTGCCAACCACACAATCTCGTTTCTTTTCACGAGAAATGACCGGCGATTGGTAGCAAGATTAGACAACGATGAGACCGTGATAATCGGAGGCAAACGAATGTCTTCTGAGAACGGCCACGAACAGGCGACACAGGAACGAGCGAGCATCTGGACTTCACTCTCATCAGTTGGTGTACCACGTAGAACAGCGCCGATAGCACTAATAAGGACAGCCAAATAAACAGTCATGTCCAGGAAAGAGTTCGAGAAGTGGTAGGAATGTGAGAGACAACGCATGGGAGCTTGCTCCAAGAAGTAAAGAGTTTGAGAACAGATATTAGACGGGCTCTATTTTCAGTCGAGACTGAAGCAACACTCTATAACTGGGCGAAAAACACATTCAAAAATACCTGGCTCTATTATTGCTGGATTCAGCAGCATGGTTTTCAGTATTAGGATGACGACTGCATCCTGAAACACTAGTCAGCATTGGAGACTGGCGTCGACTTGAGCTAGAGACAGCACGATTTAGCAGCGGTAATAAAGACGATGAGCTAGAATCTCCTCTGGGCGTAGTGTTAGAAGACGTAGACGCGTTAGACAAGCAACGCGCATAATGTGGTTTATATACCCCATTGTGATGGAATAGCCTCGGAGGAATATAGGATGTTGTACGAGTAGTAGTCGTGCCTCGCTTCTTTCGGGAGTCAGTAAAACCCAAGATCCATACTTTGCCGTCACCAATACTCTCGTAGTTGGGGGAGTTCGACCGCTTCGAACCAGTAGGATCAACCGAGCGGATTGTGGCGTCACGACCTTGTATGTGAGCGAAGTAGATCTCACATGCCTTGGTGTTGGTGGTACCCTCACTGCGACGCCTTCTCTGCGGGAACCATTCATAGCCTTGGAAAGCAAGTGTGAAAACAAGAAGATAGCGTGGTGTGGTGAAGTTGATGAAAGCATACCCGCGATTGGCAACCTGAAGAACAACGGAATGATTAAATCACGAGTACCGGAGCAAACTCACTTTAGCGGTATCGACGGGCAAATATAACAAGTCATAACCACCGTGTCGTAAAGCAGGACATTCTCTTTCTATAAGATCTCGCAGAGCCGCAACAGTGAACCTGAGTAGATAATTGAGCTCAATACAACTTTACAAAAAGGCCGCACCTTCTCGGGATCTTCTTAATCATGACCGTGGTCCTCTTTTCATTTTCATTGTCGAGGAGAGCATCCACTTCAACCATCTCCATACCAATACTGGCATTGGAGGACCGCTCGACACTTGTAGCAGGTGCATGGTCATCACAATCTTCGCCTTGTGAGCGTGAGCTCTCTACAGGACTTGCAGCATAATCGGCAAGGCCAGGACTGGCCTCACGATCGAGTCCCACAGCGTTCTCTAGAGTGATAAAGGCAGGAGTAGTAGTCAAAGGCTCATCCAAGGTCGGCTGGCTGACGTCATTTTCCTCACTGATGGAGATGTCCTGATCTTGAATTATTCTCAGTAATGAAGGCACCAAAGCTGGATTAGAGATACTGATGAGGTCCACCAAACCGGTGACAGACGTCTCGCAAGTTACCGCACCCGCCTGCTGAAGTAGGTAAATTTCTCGTATAAGGGCATCCAAGTTGTTAGCCTCCGAGGTAGTCCGGGACAGGGGGAAGTCATGAATTGCCATCGTCGACGGCGAACAAACAATACAAAGGGAAAAACAATCTACGAATGGAAACATGTGGCTCAGACGGACGACAAACAGCCACACCACATTATGGACGATGATTGTTGGTGGTTTTCTACGGCGCTAAGGCTCCCGCACTCCATCACACAATGAAACGCCTCGTAAGTGATTACAATGCAATCAACCCGTGCGGGGAAATTCCTGTGTGCGAAGCTGTTACTGACCTTCTTGTACAACAGTCATTGTTATACTACTGAAGCCGCGCAACTTGGACGACACAGAGGCTGTCCGAAAACGCTAGAGAATCAACCATTTGACCGTAACTGTCTACCGCTGCGTCATGACAGCTCAGTTGTAATGTTTAGTTACTCTGTGTGTAGTATGTTCGTACGATGGTTCGAGTACTCTTGTAGTGAAGGAAACTCATGTTAACTCAGATCATCAGTCATGGTGCAATACTGTTCCGATAGTGTGGAGTCCAAGCGAGATGTTTCCCCCACAGTGACCTCATTGAAGGTGAAGTAGGTGTAGACGAGCTCACAATTACGAAGTATGCCAGCCGCGATTTGAACCACGAACTCTGTCGTTGCCACAAGGGTATACTCTAGATGGGTAGAATTACGTTACGGACCGTTACGGGTGACTTTTACGGTTAAGCTTTGAGCCCCGTACCGTAAAATCACGCCGTCGTAACGGGTCTCACGGAAATGCAATGGGCAAAACGACAGGAAGTATACTCAGTAGACGTACTCTAAAGTCCTCACTAAAGGGTCATCGGCACGCGATTATCTGATACTAGCAGCAGTCAAGCAACCAAGAGTTGCCTATGTAATCAAATAATAGAGATGAGCTCCACACACAGGTGCCTCTAAGCGAATTCGAGAATTAATCTGTGTTGATGAGAAACATGTATTTCGTGCCGAATTTGATCACCTTTCTCGTTTCGACCAGGTTATGACATTTGCTGCTCAGGGTCTCAAAATACCACTCATTTTCTTGTCTACATCGCAAGGGTTGCGGTGGACAGCCGGATACTGTGTTCGGAATGTCCTAGGGGTCATTGACCTTTGAAAAAAGGCTCGCAAGATCTGAAAGCTAGTTCTCTGATTTCATAACGTTTTGGAGTAGCTGCTCTGAACTTCCCTTCACTTGGGCTTCAGTGAGCGCATGAATGTGTAATGCAATCGTTTGGGCAATGAGGGAATCGAGCGTAAAGGTCGTAAACCACTCCAGTTGCATAAAATCTGAGTTTACGCGAGACGTAGCGTGAACCGTGACGTCACGCAGCCCATATATACACTCATGCAGTTTGAGGGCCGCGACCATTGATTTTGGCGGAGCGTGGAAAGGTACTTCTTCTCATTTCTTCGAGTTCAGGCCGATCGATCGAGTCTTACCGAAATCTTGAGGAATTCCTAAAAACGCGGCGTAGTGAAACGAACTAACTTCTTCATTCAACGTGCTCAAAGAACTAATGTTAGAGCCTGAGGGACTACAGTGACTTACCGCTCCGAAATTCGGAGTCCGAATCCCCTTGGTGAAACTATTTCACCAGATTCATTTTTCGCTACTATTAACTTTGTTCGCTCTCCAGTTTGCCCTCACCACTTTATCATTCAGATACATATTATCGTATAACGTCTGTTGTCCATTGACTTCCAGTCATCTGCAAAGATCTCTTTTTCAATCTATTCGGGGAGGGTAGCTATGCACCTATGTGCAATCGCGCCCAATTGATGTAAGCAGTAAAACTTTTCTCTTTGAGAGGAGATTGATGCACATTTTAAAGGCCTATTTCGCCTTAAATAATATCAGTTTCGCAGGGCGGGCAATCATCCGAGCCAAGATATGCCTTAGTAAGATCAATTTCGCCAGCGCACTCGATAGAA